GAGAGAGAGAGAGAGTGAAAGAGAATGAGAGAGAAAGAGGGGCTCGCGGAAGAGTACTACTCTACCGTTCCATGTCTCTCCGTGAAACTTGAACAATTGGGAGGGAAAGCGATATATTCACGACGCGAGCACGCTCTTCTGTCGGACTTTCGAAATATTCGTCGACTTTTTGCCTTTCTATTTGCGTAGGATGTTCCTCGCGCGTGCACGCGCGCGCGCCAACCGCGGGAAATCGGTTCGAGGACGAAGAAAAAAAAAAAAAGAAAAATTCCGGTTCCACCGATTTTTCCGTCGATCGTGATAAAATGATCGGCGTTGTTTTCGCGATACCGGATGCTCCGGCCAGTTCGATACATTTTCGTAGACTCGGTGAATCAGCCGACCGATTCCGTTACTCGCGTTCGTGGAAAGTTCAAGGAATACGGGCGTGCTCGCTCGCTCGCTTCGTTTCCCGGCTGCCCGCTTTCTTAAATCGTTCAATTTTAGCGGAGGGGCCGATTATTTCGCGATCCCGAGCGCGAAACCCATTATATGATAATTGTGCCGCGACACATATTCGAGACATAAGGAGCGTTACTCCATGCTCGAGTAACTTTTGACATATTGGAAGCGTGATCGGTTGTGACACGAAACCGCGTGCAATCTCTTTTTGCAACTTGTACGATTTCTTTTGTCAATCGGGGTGTATATACGCGATTTCGATTTTTGAACAGTTGTTTGATCGAGAATCGTTCTCTTTTATTACTATTTGTTAAGAATAATTGGAACTGCTTTGAATAATTTCTTCTTCTTTTTTTTTTTTTTTTTTTTCGTTTATAAATACGTTTGAAACGGTCTGTTCGTTCACCTCGAGCTCAACCTGGATTCTAGATCACCGATCGTAGACGTTCATTGATCGATGCTCAGACGCTGTTTTTTATTCCTGCCTCGTTGAAGACGATGAGTCAACGTTGCTCGATATCTAAAACGATCGTAGAGAGCATTCCTCCGATCGTTCTAGCTTTTGAGCACGGTCTACTTTTTTTCTTTTTTTTTTTTCTGTTTTGCGAGTCGCAAATTGAAACGAGTTTTTTCGAGTGGTTTCTGGAACCATTTTTAATCCCTCATAAATTATACGCCGCGTAGAGTTCGACGGATCGACCGGCTATATTTACTCGTATCGATCCATCAAACCGATTATTATCTTCGCCTGTTATTTATTTTCACTAATAATAATCAATATTTCATATCCATTATTTATTAAGCACGTTCCTTCCAACTGTGGATACAAGATAATCCCTCGAATTTCTAAAAATGCGTAAAAAAAAAAAAAAAAAAAAAAAAAAAAAAAAAAAAAAAAAAAAAAAAAAAAATTAATATTAAACAGTGTGTTCAAGCAACGATGACACGAATCTTGAGCAAATTATCGAAGCAATTATTAATTTCCAAGATATTTCAAAAGGAACGTTATATCTTAGCAAACGATTCGTCAACGTATCCAGAAGCTCTCGGGACAAATCATCAGCCTCGGTTGATTTACAATCCCCCGTAAAAGATCGTCGTATCGGCGCAACGTTCGTTTCCATTCACGAATCGGTTAACAATAAATCACGTTTATCTTGGGGCCAGCTGGAGGTTACTCCGTACGAATCAACGTCACGTTGCAATAACGGAACTACGTCATAAATTAGCGAGAGAGCTGCCTCGGCGGCCAGGTAGCCCGACAAAAATTCTCTGGCTACCTCGCGTCACACCGGTTTCTCGGCACCGTTCCCTTCCACGCGATCCACGAAGGTCAAGTACTTTTCACTACAGTTCCATCCGTTCTTCCGGTTATCCGGTCGGATCCTTGCCCCCTCCTTCCTTTCTCCTTCCGTTTCAAATTTTTCAAACGTATTAACGCAATTCGTTCTTCGTTCCTCGAACTCTAGAGAGAAAGAGAGGAAAAGAGAGAGAGAGAAAGAGAGAGAGAGAGGAAAGAAACCAAAGGAAAAGGACAGAAGGAAGATTTCTAGTTGGATCTAGATACGAGGATACGAAGAAGAGCGAGAGATTGAGAGGAAATTGGAGGTCTCGATAGGAGTGCAGGGTGGAAGTCGAACTCGTTGGTTACGTCGGAAGAGCGAACGTTTACACGGTCGTAAAACGGTGACACGGAGGGGGTTTTACATGCGTCATCGTCGTGCGGGTACAAATCGCACGCGACCATACGTTTCGACGACAGTACACGTGCGTAACGACGCGCTCGATCGCTCCTGCGAAACACGGGGCTACGATCCTCTTTCAAGGACACACGGTGATAAATGCGGTGCCGGAGATGACGTCCTCCGCGTTCTCCAAAATGTCCACCATCCGGCTGGTACTGCTGTGCTTGGTCGTCACGTGTAACGGTGAGTACGAATTTCAATTTTTCCAATTCCTTACTCTTTTTCATCTTTCGTGTTTGCAATTTTCCGTTTTCTTTTTGTTTTAAGAAAAAAAAGAAAGAAAACACGTAACTTTTGGCACGTACATTCCTCTTCGATACATCGTATCATATTTACTTTAATTATACCGTTTTTGTAATTGAAATGTAATTGAAGATCAGAAAAAAAAACTGGTAGTTCCAGTTAAGAGAAAGATACGCAAATGATAACGATATTAGAATTATATTTGGAAAAAACGTGAATTAAAATGGGTGGAAATTATGATAACTTTTGTTCCGCGAAGATAGAAACATTTGTTTGAAAGAGTTATGATCCTGGACGACGTTGTTGTTTATTTTGCCGTATGTCCATTTGTTAAAAACTTCATCGATATCCGTTGGCGATAACATTATCCGCAAATAAATAATATGCGTTTCACTTTTTCATAATGATAGTTTTAAAAACAGACCGCGTGACGCAAATGTTTGTATAAGATTAAATAGTTTCGCGCGTACTCATCGCGTTGGCTGACTTGATGATGAATTGAAATTTTGCGCGTTAGCTTGCCGCCAGTAAAAGTCAACGTATAACCAAGGAACAATAGAATTGCGGTGAATAAAATATCCACGATAGAACTTTCGATCGTCTACTAATTAATCGAAGCTATTAATTGCACGAGAACGGAAATTTATAGTGAATCGAGATTATAAATAGGGTAATAATATCGGTCGATCGACGACACGGACAAATTAATATGCTAGAAGCCGTCATTTTTACGACTTCGAAGGCCTTAACCTCGACAAGGGCCTCGTATAGCCTTTAAGTGTCATCACAGAGGTTGCATTCGAAATGACCAGTGCGAGGGCATTTAGATTTTTACTGTCACTGACGCGTAATATAATTAACTATTAAACCAAATTACTTATTAAATGTTATCCATTTCCATTTCAAAACTTGGTTCATTCAATATATTCATCAAAAATAAACCTTTATTATTATATTTGAAAAGAAGAAAAGAAAATTTGAATAATTACTGAAAACTTATCTTTCATTTCTATAGAACTTCCTTAGAACGTAAGGAATTAACTCCAATCACTTTTGTTGTGATTATTAATCAAAGAATATGTAAAATCTTCTATTTTTTAATCCATCGTAGTTTCGAATAGGATTTCAGAGCCAACAGATTATTATTTATAGATAATCTTCATATATCTTTGTCTATGTTTTTCAATTTTCATCTTGAGTTATTCAAATTAATGACTTGAGTTAATTATCATTTAACACGAATAAATATCTTGTTACTTATGAATGAACGAATAAATATTATTCCGATTCCTCTTTCGTTCTTCGTTCCAAGATCCTCCATCATCCTCCACTTTCCAAATCCTTTCTTCAGATCCATTCATTCTCGAACGAAATCTAAATTAATCCTCGCATCGAAGAATATATTTCCAAATGACTTTCGTCCACCTATAAATCCTAAAACGCGTGTAAATCGCGTTTTTTCTTCGCCGACACCTTGGCAATGAAACCAGCTCTCAAGGTTGATTCCATCGTCGCGTTTCGGGATCTCCATTTCTCTTTCCACGCTCGCGACGATTTCATTAAAAACGCGGCACGTGCGTCAACTCGGCTGTCCACCTGGCCACGCGAAAATCTGTGTTAACAGATTCGATTCACTTTCGTCCACTCTTTCGTCGCGTGCCTCGCTCAAATAACAAACGTCGCTACGATTTTCGCCTGATCGTGTCGTCGTGAAAAGGAGGACGGAAATCGCGACGATCTCGAGTGTATTCACAAGTGCAATCAGACCGAGACATTCACTATCTTCTCGAATCCTCTTGTTGCGATTGTTGCGCATCGCGATTCCTCTCGCCGATTTAAGCTTTAAGAGAAATGTAATTGACCAGATAAAATTTTCCTCTTCTCTAAACGAATATGGAAAAAATTCCACGGATAAATCCTCCAAGTTCGATTTTCTAGTATACAGTCAACGGAAAGAGGAACGAGAATTTATTTCAACCATAAATTCTAAAAGATGTTTTTCCCAAGTGACAGGTTTTGAATGTATATTACAAAGATAAACGTTTCTTGGAGAAAGGTTGGGAATGAGTGTTGCTGGAGTGAATGAAATACCAGGATGAAATACGAGCGTGATACGAGTTGAGTTTTTAATGCTGATTACTCCATTTGGATAGGGATCTTCTAATTATTCCGTACAGTTATCGTATACGTCATAGTTGACCCTGTTTTGCGAGTTTGTGAGAGTATGTTAATTTGAATCAATTTGCAGAACAGTTTGGAAGATTGGTATTCATTCATATCGATTACAACACCGTATGCGTCGATCGAGAGATTACCAAAGGAGAGGAAAGGATCGAAAGACGTGCGCGCGTATTTAAATAATTGCTATCGTATATTTGCAGAAAAACGGATATATATCACGAAACATTGAAACGTTTCGAGAGAATGATGAAAATTTTACAAAGGAACGTCGAATAAGAGCGAATCGAGACAAATGGGAGCGAGATTTCCAATAACACAGATATCAAGTTGCCGTGAAAACGTTTGCATCTCGACTACGATTCGAGAGCGAGATGTAAATTGAAGCGATCGTGCGTGAACAACTCGAGATCTTGGACCATGCACCGTGATTCACCGTGAAGAAAGAGAAGTTCGTTTACTCGCCGGAAATACTCTCCTCTGTGCATGTAATTACCGCGTGGAACGTAAAAAACCTTATTACTTATCGTGTAATAATATTATTACGTGTAAATTCAACGCAACGGATTAATAAATTAATTTAATCCGTTCGAATCTCTAGGAAAGGAAATTGAGATTATCACAAGAAGACGAAACAAAAAAAAAAAAATCGAAAATTTATGAGATACGTAGCTAAAATTATCCATACCCTGAATTATCGATATCCTGAAATTGATCGAAGAGCCAAGTGTTAAGATCGAACTTAAATTATGCAATTTCTTTCCAAATTGAAACGCTGATATCACATCGATTATCCAAAATTAAAAATTTTCCAAATTTCTCAAGCTTGCTCGATTCGACTTCTTCGACTGATTCGAAATACAAATTATCGATCGTTGGGATTTCGATGGGACGTTGATATACCAGAATTTTGGCAGCGATGGATTTTTTGTCGATCGTTTTTCGATGCCTTAAAGCATCGGTGGAACGGGCGAGGAGCGACTGGCCGAAAGAACTGGTTCTTCTTCGGAGGGTGGTTAAACTCGATGCAATGCATGCATTTAGTGAAACATCGCTCTGGAATGCAAACACGTGAGGAAGGGTAGGAACCTGCATGGGAACTATTGTACGATCCTGCGTTGTAGGATCCACGCCGATGAATTTTATGCATTCCATGGACGCGCCTCGATTCGATTTCAAATTACTCTTTTCTTTCTGATTTTCATCCCAATACTCGTCTATTTCAATTTTTTTCTCCATCTCTATATTACTTAAAAATACTTCTTAATTACGTGTTAATTTCTGAGAGAGTTTTAATTACCAATTAAAGAGCGAAGAAAGGCTACGCTGCTGTATTATTTTCGATTACTTGAAAAGTTCGGGCGACTGATCATTCGATTCGTCATGTTTGTTCGAAAAATTATCAAAGTTAAAATTTTTATTCCTTTTGCTCAAAAGAAAAAAAAATGGCATCGATTGCGCCAAGTTATCGAGATTTTCTACGCAAAAATTGATATTCGAGAATTCTCGATGGCTGATAATTCTTGACATCTGAGGAACAGAGCAAGGTTCAAAGGTACATCCAACTTGGTACGAAGCATCAGTCTGTAATATATCTACAACGAATCGTACAACGAATTCTAGAAAAGAAAGAAAGATTCGTTTCTTGTAAAAATCCAAACACTCCAACGTGAGACACGATTATAAAATTACTTATATAATTGTAAAGTCTTTTTCATTTCTTCATTGGTACGAGCGTCAAGCGTCAATAAAATAATATCATGAAATGAAATTTTTATCGATATCGATCTCCTGCGCTCCGTTTATGCAGCTTCAAAAAACAAGAAAAGTTTCAATCAAGGTGGAGTCAATATTTTCCTTTTGACGCGGTCGCGACTGATTAATACCGAGTTCGAGGAACGGAAATGCAGTTCGATGAATTTCCGGGGTTAATCCCGTCCAAGGACAATGCTTCTCGTTGCTGGAAAACAGACAAAGATCAACGCGAACTTTCCCGCGATCGAACACGTAGGTACTACCCGGAGCTGATTTTGTAATATTTCTCGAGAATCTCTTCGCCACGAGATGCGAATAATAGATAGAGTCGAGTGAAAGAAACGGCATGCGGAGAAATATGAGCTGCTTCTGACCAAGAAGTAATTTCAGTCGATGAAACTCTTGTGGTTTCTTGATCGACTTGGATTAATCGCGTATCCGTGTGGAATTCTTTCGTCCTCATCTTCATTTCACGAATCATCTCGCGAATGTGTTTAAAATAATTGATATTATTATGAATTATACGAACGTAAAATTTTTTAAAAGTTTAATAAACCATTAGATCACCGTTTCGATACAATGCGATATATTCATACGTTTGTAAGGAGACATAAAGTGGATTATAAAGTAATTCGATCGCCACAAGTCTCGATTTAACCGGTCTGCCTCGGCGTCGATTAAGCCGGTTAATCGAGATCCTATGGCGTTAAGCAGCTCTTAGAATAGAAGAAAGTATAGGAGAATTCAAACGAAGAAATATTCAATTTTTTTTTTTTTTTCTTGTAAAATCATCTTTCCTTGAAAATAATGAAATCTCTTTTTATCTCTTCGAAACGCTTTCTCTTGTGAATCCTGTTGGAAGAAGAAAAAATTCGGGGATGCGCTCGAAACCTTTCCAGGAATTTTGACCGTGACAATCGTTTCCTCGAACGATACTTCTTCTTATTCATCCTTGGTAAAAATCAGAGAGAGAGAGAGAGAGAGAGAGAAAAGATTTCCCGAAAATGAAACTGACTGATCATCGATTATTATTACATTAATTTTCAATTAACTGGAAGAACAAGAAAATAATTATGAAAATGATTTAAATAATACGCTTGTTTCCCATTTTTCTCAAATTTGGTAACGTGTCACTCATTCGTTGAATTGCGATATTTCACTTGTGCGTGTAGATAAGACACGTTGCGAATTTGAAAGAATCGAAGCAACTCCATATTCCATACGAAAAATTAAAAAGTCTTGCGTCAATTATAATTCTCTAATCACGTATATGTTCCTTCTTTCGATGCATGATTCATAATGAGTTCAAGAATGAGTTAGGGCAGCAAATGACTTCAGTTGATAACGAGAGAAACTTGATTAAACGAGTTTCGATGTCCAATATTTTCGAGTAAAACGATCATTATTCCTCTTTCGTTCTATTTCCTCTTTTAATGATCCCATATTCGATATGTTTGATTTTTGCTTTTTAGAAAGCAAACCTTCTATCCTCCTAGTAACTTTATTTAATTATCTATTTTATTTAATTATCTCCAGCTCGTCTAGTAATTTTTGTAGTATCCAAAAGTAGTATTCCTTTTCCAAATTAACGAACCGAAAAATATACAAGTGAAATAAAATAAAACTGTTTTTGCAGATCGTTCGACAATATATCATGCGGAATTTATTTGCACCAGATGGAAATATCATAAATTATTATTTTTATCTTCTTTTTTAACGAAGCAATTAGCCCTCCATTATTCTTATACCGTATGTTCAAGTGGATCTTAATACAACTTTACACGGTTAACAGTTTGCTTTCTGCCTAAGCATATCAATCGTGGATACCTTCATTCCGGCGAGGAATAATTAAAGGCTGATTTCACTGCAGGAACAGAGTTAAGTGGGTCACCTGAAAAGTATGCGCGTCAAAAGTTAATAATCGTTCCGGGCTTTGCCCAGAATATTTTAGATTACCCCGGACGGTTATCTACACGCATTCCACGAAACACAATTTCTCGAAATCCTGTCGCAAATATACGGTTTTCCGTTCTGTACCGAGCAAACTGTGTACATATTGGCTATACAAAAATACTAACCAAATATTCTTAACAAGTTAAACTTTTGCGTATTCCGTCAACATATATGTATACATTCTCGAAAAATATTGTCTTAAAATAGTTCCAACTCTGTCCCTGAAAATTCAGTACGAGTATAGCTTGTACGTATTTTTACGTACTCGAAATACTTTCGAAAAATTCGATTTCCCCGAAATGATCGTCGGCCGTTGCTCGTTTCGACGACGAAGAAAGAACGATTTGGTGGAATCGGTCAAAGGAACGAGGATCTCGTCGTTGTCGTTTTCACAACGGAAAAGGCAACGCCCAGCGGACGTATTTTGAGTTTCACAACGTAGCGTCTACGTGGGAAAAGAAATCGGCTGGTCTCACTAATTGTCCTCCACGAGACATCGATGGCGGGTTAACGACCGTGGTTTGCGCGTCTATCGACGACTTTTTCTCTAATTACAAGAACGAAATCCTTCGCTCGACTCGAGACGACTCCTCCAATCCTTCTTTTTTTATTTTCTTTCTTTCTTTTCTTTTCCTCTCCTTTCCCTGCTTCAACTCAACGTAGCCGCTTCTCCTCGGCCGCAAGAAATGGCTGGCCTTGTCTCTTACGGTCGATAATCTCGGGATGGGATTCCATTGTTGTGGAATTAGTCATGGCGATACCTGGCAAGATACATCCGGGACGGGCAGCTCGAATTCCCGAAATGCCGATGTTTTAATAATCGGCGTCGTTATCCACTTGCGGCCAATCGACCGTTAAAACCATCGATCGATCCACAAAAAGATCGGGTGAGTAGCATCGTATGGTGAAATGATAAGAAATGATATGATGAATGGTTGAATCGAAGGAGAAATAATGTAAATTAAAAACACGCGGTGTAATGTATCAAGGATACACGGGTTGGTTTAAAATTAAACGGAGAGAGAAAGAGAGAGACGACATCGATGAATCGCGGCGGGCAACGATCGAAAATTACGTGGCGGAGTATTCAAGGACGCGGTGAAGAAAGTAAGAAAGTATGGAAGAAAGTAAATGGTGGCCTTGGACTGGCTGAATGAACTCGACCTGGGTTAGATGCTGCGGGGACGATCTTCCGTTTCGTTTCTTCTCATCTTTATTCTTCTATCGTTTCGAACAATTTTGTTACGAATATAATATAACATAAAAATATCTCTTAACTTTTCAATTGGATTCAAGGGAGGAACGGAAGCGAAATAGTTTGGCCAAAGCCGCGTATACTGCGTTGGATTTATTAATATTACATCAGTCGGTATCACCTGTACACACGATACCTGTACCTTATGCAATAATTCTCACGGTTCACTACCGCGAAGTCAAATGACGAAGGATGCCGACGAGTAGCCGTGTCACAGTTCCAGGCAATACTTTAAAACGCATAAAATAATGTTTAATACTCGATAAAAACGAGGAAATGATGGCTTAATAATCATATTGTATGGAAATCACTGTTATTCGGAGTGAAAGTTTTTCAACGAATATGTCGGACATTCGATTTATTGCCCTCTAAAATACCTTTTCTCTCTTATCTTTATCAAATTATTCTTCTTAAGCTTCAACTCTTAATTTATCCCTTGAGCACATGTCATTATTTCGTGTGAATATCGGGATAAAAAAAAAAAAAATCTTACTCTTAGACATTTTATTTTCCGCACAAATCGTCTAATCCACTTTTTCGTTGAAATTATTATTGCTCATTTATAAAATCTGTTTAGACACACTGTACAATAATAGTCATTGTAAATTATACAGTGTGATGTAATCACATCGAGCAGTTTGAATCATCATTGTCATCACAGCGCTTGGTTGTAGGAAGCAAAGTGATATCTCACGTTTATCCTACGCGAAAGCTATAAATTTTGAAGTTTATAAACGACAGATGTAATGAAATTATATTAGCAGCTACCAATATACGTATATACCAATATGCAAAAGCAACACGTATCCTCGTAAAACCGCAGAGCCGATGAGTGTGTCAATGTAAAGTGGGAAACGACCTTCCAGTGTCAGCGACCACCTTTACTCGTCTTGAGGACGAGCTCCACGCATGGCGAACGTAACGAGACAATAAGTAACCAAGGACCAAGTTCGGCATGGACGCGTGTTACATACCGTGGCCACGTAGAAAGTGTGGAACAACGGTGCACACGTTAACTTTTTCATTCAGAGAAATTTATTCGTGATCGTCCACCCACCGCGACAAAAATGGCCGCGGCTTTTAAATTAATGATGACCACCTCGTGAAAAATACCTCGAGAATTTTGTTACCGGCTCGAATTCCCCTTCGAGTAATACTTTTTAATTATCGATTTGTCCTTTAAGATCAAACGATTCACAGGCGACGATGCACAGTACGGTCGTAAAAACAATTATCAGAAGATGAAAGATAAAGGCCGAAAAGGAAGGGTTAGAAATGAAGAAACGAAGAAATCATCGAAACTCGATAGATTGCCAATGAGATTGTGGAACTCGTTACAGAATGGACGATTTAGTATTCTTGTAGCATCGCATCGAGGCGAGTTTTACAACGCTAATTCTTTGTGGTTCCCCCTTTTAACAAATATTTTATTATCGATCCGTCCCTGGTTCTATTTGCACATGGCGACAGACGCGCGACGCAAGGCGATTGTCTACGTGACTGTCGTAGCTTCCTGCCCGATGTGTCCTACATATGTTCAATCGAGTTCCTTCGGATCACCAAGTCGCTCATCGTGGAAACGTAGAGCTTGCTCGATTTTCGTTTCTGTTTTCTTAAAATTTGCAAAAAATCTTGATAAAAAAAAGTCTCGGACAAACAATTTTTCCTCACGATACGATAAATCCAATAAATTCTTACTGAATTCTCGAACAAATAATCCAAACAATTCGAATTCACGGGCCGGAAAAATTATTTATAACTAAATATGCAATTAAATTCGAATAACGTATTCCAATACGAATCCTTTCGTTCGACGATATCTCCCAAAACTTTTATATGTAAGACCAGTTGGCAATTTAAAGAGACGTGATCGTATTGTTGATACCATGTTGTCGTGGAATTTAAAATATTTGTGGAATTTTCAAACACGTTTGACGACCTATGAAGCAACGTTCACACGGGCCATTTTAATATCTGACTTTCCTTTTCCACGATCCTACTAAACACGCTTCGAACATCACACTATGTATTGTTATAACGGCCTATAAATTCCATATATATATATATATATATTTAACTGAATTTAACCTTCTGTGTTAATCCATTATCTGATTATCCGTTTGCAGGTGTACCTGTGCCAGAAGAGACTGATGAAGTTACCACGATCAAGTCCACGACGATCACCGGGATCTCCATTGATCCCGAAATCAAGGGTCACTCGATGGACGATATCTTGCCAGGAACGAAAACGCCACCGAGCCCATCAGTAATATTCGTGGACGTTCCAGAACACATAGAGACGGAACTCGGCTCGTCCGTGCTTCTAGCGTGTAGAACCGCTAATCCTGTGGCCGAGTGCCAATGGTCCTGGCAACCTTTGCCTCCGGTTCACCTGCCATTACCGGATATCAGTGAAACTCCGGCGACCAGTTAGTTATCAATACGATTTTTTTTTACAGTTGAAATTTTTTACAACTATAATCCTCGAATAGAACAGATATCGAGTATAATAAAAAATTTATTCTTGATGAAAAGAATATTTTAACTTTTTATCCGTTTTGAATTTTATGGTCCCAACGAAGGCCTATTTAATTCATCGAAACGATTCATCAAGGAATACCTTCCGTCCGTTTCAAATATCATAGATTGTTGGGATTGAAAAAAAGATCGACAGATGATACCTGTTTGTCTATTTGTTTCGATCGCGATAAATACAAGCTGGATGATGAGTCAATCTTTCGATACAGCTCTTTTGTTTTCCGCAGCATTCATGTGCCGCGTAATTATCAGCTCCTCTTGTAATTTATAGCCACCACGGTCTCGATGATTCAGACGACAACCACGCCGACTACCAATCCGTTGCCGGTACGACAATTTCCTGCCTTCGGGAACAATAGCAACGACTGTTCCGTAAGATTCTCGAGTACGAAGCACGAGCAGACCGGATACTGGACCTGCGCCGCGAGAACTTCCACGAATGATCCTTTCACCAGCACGGAACCTGCCAAGCTGAGCATCGTTAATGAGCACCAGAGTATGGAATGTTGATTGTTTCTTCTGTCCTTTTAATCTCTTCCTTGAAAATTTATCCACAGGCGTGGATAATTAAAACGTGAAAGAAAGAGGGGATATTAAATGTTAATATTTATAAATGTCTAGGTCCCTTGATCGTATTTTCGAAGCTTGATAACATCGTCGAGGTCCCAGCAGGATCCTCGGCGCAAATAATGTGCCAGATGAAATCACCTGTCCGTGAATGCCAATGGTCCTGGCGGCAGTTGAACCAATCCCAGCCGTGGAACCTCGAGGTGAAGCGATTCCCAGCTTTCGGCAACGACAGCACGGATTGCAGTATTAAGTTCAAGAACGTGTTGCCCGAGCAAGAAGGATACTGGACATGCGGCGCCAGAATCGATCCCAATTCCTCCTTCACACAGTCGAATCCCATACGATTTCTTATTTCGGAAGGTGAGAGAAGGAAATTCGAATTTTTATCGCATTTTTGCTTTGCAATTTATACGGGATGCGTACGTGAAAAGAGTGTTTGTGAAAGAAGTTGTAAAATATTTTCGTAACGCGATAAAAAAAAGGGACCGTTGATTTTTGTTTTACAGTCGAATTCGTACAATTGTCTAGAGGAATTCAAGTAGCATCTGGCGAATCCGTGCTACTCAGATGTCTGGTAAACAAGCCGGTGGTACAATGTGAATGGTCTTGGAAATCTTCGAACTCGAGTCAAGAACCTCTGTTAGTCAAGAAGTTCAATCCGAACAAAGACACCGATCATGACTGTTCGGTGAGGTTCAAGAATATCTTGTACGAGGAGGAAGGATTATGGACGTGTGGTGTTCGACTGTCGCCAGAGGGAATTTTGCACGAAGCGCCACCCGCGACTGTTAGCCTTCTACCTACAGGTAATAAACCTGTGATGAAAGAGATCATTTCAAATCGCAGAATATCTTTCTCTTTTCAATTGTTCTTCGTCCAATATTTCTTGGAAAATGAAAAAAAAAAAAAAAAATCAAAAAATTAAACGACCTTCGATCGTTAGATTCATCTTGTCCGTTGTTCCAGCCAAAGTTAACTTCGTTGAAATGCCGACGGACACTTCCGTACCGGTTGGTACGGAAGCCATGTTAAAATGCGTAACAAGCAGCCGTGTGGAGAAGTGTACGTGGTTCTGGAAACCGCTTCACGGAAATGAACCGGAGATCGTGATTGAAGAATATCCAAGCAATGGCGACCTTGGTAGAGACTGTTCGTTCACATTTCCGAAAGTGTATATCGAAAAGCAGGGCCAATGGGCCTGTCAAGTGTCGATCAGTTCCCTCAACACGATATTGACCTCGCCGTACGTCAAACTCACCGTATTCGAGCAAGGTATCTTTACTTTCGTCCTTCAATTTCCTCCACCTCTTTTTCGTCCACAAGAGAACGAGGCCTTTTCACAACGAAGCCTCAAGTTCACCACTACACCTCTTTCTTCTTCGATCTTCTTCTTTAGTTTAATAATTTCCATTAATTTTTATTTCCAGACGACGTAAAATTCTCAGAGCTATCTAAAGACATTCAAATAACAGCCGGTGGAAGCGTTTTTCTCCATTGTGTCACTTCCTCGGCCGTGGAACAGTGCCGATGGTCCCTGACGCCGGTGAACTCGAACACAACGGTAGTGGTGAAGCAATTTCCGGCGGCCGGAAGCGAGGCCAGAGACTGTAGTGTCAGGCTGACGCACGCGCTCGCGGAACAGGAAGGACTGTGGACCTGTGGTGCCAGGATACGCGGCAGACAGAACTACACGGACGCACCTCCGGCCAAGCTAAGCCTCCTGGAACCAGGTATCATTGAATCTTGAGACGGATTCACGACATTCCTTTCCTTTCACGGGTGAGGGTGTAGAGAAAGCAAATCGTTCATCGATCCACGGATCTGTGGTCGACCTATTCGCTTCGCGACACTCGTAGCAATTTCGAGGCGTGGTCGTCGATCGGCCATAGATCCAGAACTGTGTATAGCATGAACGTACATTATGTATACATATATTAGCAAAACAACGATGAGTCGTGCGACTTGAACTGCTGCTGTAATTGTACAAAGGATCCTAATTGTCGAGAAATTGTGTCGAAAGAAACATTTCGACACGATAAAAAAAGAAAAAATCTTAATTTGTTTCTTGAGACGATGAACGAGCGTCAAGGAATATTCTGTTGTTTTGGTGTAAAATGATGGTATTCTTTCTGATGAACCAACGATGATCGTCACTAAGATTTTTCTATTACGAAATCATAATATTAATGATCGTTGTGACAGTACACCGATGCGTATCTTTTAATATTGCTCATCATGCTTCACTCAGCTTCGTTAAAAAAGAAAAAAAAGAAAAATAAATTTTAAAATTCCATTGTAGCTTTTTTTTTTTTCAAATATATAGATATATATAAAAAAATAATATAAATGACATTTTTCCGATATTCATATTTCACAAATGTATCTGGATACTTAATAGTAATGTGACTCATCCTTTGCAATGTATACGTGATGTATCGTATAACAAACATTAGTATTTGTGATCGATATCGTTCGAAAGAAACGTCACTGGGAAAACACATGGAGAAACAGTGGCTAACTACTTTCAAAAGCGATAAGCGAAATCGATCGCGTTGTCATATATGTATCACAAAGTCTTAGAGTGTACAATTGAAGGCCGCACAGGCACAATTAAAGGAATTTGTAGCAAGAACGAAAATAATGATCCATCATCAATCTTAGTATAGATCGCATGTAAGTTCTTCGAAGACTGTTGTGGGTGAAGGCATCGCGGAGGTGATGGACTCTATATAACGATTTCAAGTTTCATAGTGATGTCTACCTCGCTCTATGGCTTATGAATTAATCATTTATATAATTAATCTATATACATACATATATTGTAAAAGAGGTAGATAGACGATAAAAGAAAGGTCTGTTTTTTTCTTTTTTTTTTTTTCTTATCTGCAACTTCCGTTAAAACAAGACTTTTTATATTCGCATTTTCTTTTCTTGTTTCTTGCGAGGAATCCATTGTTAACAAGTTCGTGAACAAGAATAGCATTCCTTGCTTGTTACCTAGCATACTGTTACCGTACACAACGCATTTGCATCGATTAGCATTAGATTCTTCTAATTTATCGTTTTATCGCATCTGTTATTGTTTTCCTCGCAATTTCTTGCTAAATCTTCGCAAAGATTTATTAGATCGTTATGTTTCGGAATTAACCGAAGCCTGGCAATTAATGAGCGATTAATAATGCCGTCCGTTTCTCTTACAAAACACATGTTAAGATACGCATTAAAAGAAATGTTAAATAACACATCCGGCAATATTGTTCCATCAACAACAATTATTTCATCCACACAGATTAAATTCTTCTTTTTTTTTTTATTCGTTAAAGTATACGTGCAATACGTTTTTTGTGCTCACTAAACTACATTTCGAATATTCAAGCGTAATGTTCTTTTATCCTCGTCGATATGGCACGCTTAAGAAGCACACATCTCATTAAATAACATCTATCACTCAATGTCATTCACCCTTTCTTATTTATATGCTCAACGGCAAGTCTACGCTCAAATGATTTCGCATTTAGCATAGTTAGTAGCCGCGTTAATAGGTACGCGAAACCGTATTGTGTGTGTAAGCCTTTTCACGAGCACTCTGGCTACATTTATTGTCATTCTTCGTATTATTTATTGTCGAAAGTCACTATTGACAGGGAAAGTGCTCGAGCTTTGAAAAAACGCTCGCCATCGAACTTCCTTAATTTATATTTCAGATTTCATTTCAAAATTTTTTCTTTTTATATTCTCTTTTTCTCTCTCTCTTTCTCTCTCTCTCT